ATGAATCTTCCTTCCTCTGTCTTGTGTTGTGTGCTGCAGCAACTCAAGGAAAGTAACATCCAACTGGACCATGTCCGCATTTGCTACTCCCCTTTCTCCCGAACTACTCACACCGCTAAGGTTGTCGCTCAGGTCCTCAATCTCCCTTTTGATGGTCCCCACTGCAAGGTATGTATATCTCTTTTTCTCAACACATTTCTGCCTCTCTACATCTGCACCAACCTACTCTTATTAGATGATGGAAGCTCTGCGAGAACGCTATTTTGGACCTACATTTGAACTCCAATCACATGACAAGGTCAGGATTCTTAGCTTACTTTCTCCTAGAGGATCTGAACATAGGATTAATACCTGCCTTCTCAAGTTGCTTGTTTTATGATCCCCACAGTACCAAGAGATATGGGATCTTGATGAGAAAGATCCATTCATGAGACCACAAGGAGGTGAGAGTGTTGATGATGTCGTCTCCAGACTCGCCACTGCCATTGAATCCATGGAAGCAGAATTTCATAGGTAAATTTCTTCTGTTCCCAACTGAAAGGAAAAGTGTGCGTCTTCATTGTGCATTATCCCGTAGGTGTGCGATTCTGGTGGTGGCTCATGGAGATCCTCTGCAGATGTTGCAGAACATTTTCCATTCAGCCAAGCAACAGAGAGGAGGTGCTTTGGCAGACAGGATTCAGATGACCAGAGTTGCTTCCATCCTCTCGCAGCACCGCAAGTTTGCTTTGCTCACTGGGGAACTCCGACCCCTCTTCTGATTACCCAATCGACTGGAGCTCGTAATAAAAGCATTCAACTTTGGCATGTTTTGTGGTCAAATGACATTCTTGCAATTGCTTAATTATGGCATCAGTTAGTTAGAAAGACAAAGCGAGCACAACAATTTATTCTTCTGTAATAAGAAATCATGCTCATTTATGTTATGTATCTTTAAATCTGTACACCAATATTCAATATATAACGGCTTCTAGGTGATCATCCTCTTCTGCAAAACAACTGCGATTTGAGGAGAAAAATGCTGAGAGCTACCACCAGCACTGGTCTCTCTAGAATGTTTCTTAATCTTTGGTGATCCATCTGCGACCCCTTACTTCAAATCCACCATAAGCTTGATCACTACTGCTCTCTCCCCCGCTCTCCGCACTCGTGTACCCTGATTTACGCCGGTGCTTTTTGGTTCTTGTAACTCCGCTATCACTAAAACTCCCATTTAAAAGCGGATCATCGATCCCACGAATCACTCTCCGACTAGAGGATGACATGCAACTATCGTCCTTAACTCTTCTCTTGTCTTTGTCGTGTTTCTTTATGTTCTGGGAGATCTTGTGCAATTTCTCATTGAACTTTGTGATGCTCTTTTCCATAGGCTCCACCGCTTGAGTCACCGTGAATTTCACGTCTTTGACAATCTACAACATATAGCCTCTTTGTGATAGAAGCTCTTCATCAGATAATCATTTATTTGAATGGAAGAATTAGAAGACTCACGTATTCACCACCACCAACGAAAACATCTCTCATGCTTTCTTTGATTGTCATACCACTTCTGATATCAACATCAGGATGTGGAAGACGGACCTTCGTTCGTCTCTCACTGTCCCTAATCTCATCTGGATCAATAGGACAGTCAACAGATGCATAGTCCCCGAGAACCGAAACAGATCCAGAGTAGCAGTCTCCCAATAGACCATAAGGTTTTGCTGGGAATACATACAGGTGAACAACAGAAGCAATACCCATCTGCACTAGACCAACAAGTGTTAAGAAACTTTAATTCATTTTAAGAAAGGAAAGCAGATAAGACTCCATAGACTATTGTAAACAGGAAACGAAGAAGAAAAGTTTAGCACTCAGTACACAAAGATCACACATGATGTATAATTCTTTTGCAGGTACGTTGGTAGCAGAAGACATCTACCTCTATACAAATGATGAAATCTTGCACACTAGTCTTCAACTGCAAGCTCTGCGCAATTGAACTTTTGAACAAACCGAGGGAAGAGAGAAGAGCAATGGCAACACCTTGCCACCAAGTCAGAAACACAATCGACTTGAATGTTAGAAATTTGGCCAGCGGCTTTATGTGCGCCAGCTCATCTTTTGTTGCACCATAGAACTGAACCAGACAGTATAATGCCCATGACTGACTAAAATTTAGAACAACTGCCAAATAAGGGTACCTACAAAAAAAAAACCCAAGCAAAACAGTAAGATGGTATCTTGATAGTAGTCCATCATAGATGAATCTGAATCTGTATGTTTTGTTCCTTGTCATAGCAATGTGCTTGACAAAATCGCCTCAACGTACCCACATCCCCATTTAAACTCTCCTTCACAGTACACACCAAACGCTTCAAGAATCAGAGCTGTGAGAGCAGTCAAGGACTTTATTATCATCTGCCAAAGGAGAGGAATAGTTTACTTCCACCTC